TTGATTTATTTATCATTATACTAAACTGAGAGACTCTGAATTCTAGTCGTGCCTTAAGCATAAAGCCAGCCAGGTGGCCGGTCACTGTTTCTCAGTCATGGGCAGATGGGAAATGGCAATCCATTTCCAAAATCATGCCAAGAAATCTGTCTATTTGTCTAACTCTATACATATGAGGAGGGGGAAAGGTTTGGGGGTTTTCAATTGCGACTTTTTATTGTTATATGTCATCCAGGATCACCATGTGTGAGTTGGATGGCCATATACATTTGTTTCGTAAATCAATAAATTTTGGGCTGCTTACATATTGTTAAAAGCAGAACAACCCATAATAAAGCACACAAAACAATAGAATTTAGGATAATAGATGCTAAACCACAACTTGTTCTATTTAAGTCATTTCAGGATGAAATCATCCAATACGCTAGTCTAACCCCTCCAAGCCAAGACTTTGAATACATTATGGAAGTCAATAGGGCTGCGGACCTTGTGGTTAGAGAATAGCAATATCAATAGCACTTGTGCTTATATATTGCCTCATAGTGCTTTACAGCATTCTCTGGAAGCTTTACAATATAAGCATATTGCGCCCAACAATCTGGGTTCTCATTTTATCAACCTTGGAAGGATGGAAGGTTGAGCCCTGTCAGGATTGAACTCCAGGCTGTGTGCAGAGTTAGCCTGCAATACTGAATTGAAACTACTGTGCCATCAGGGCAGGCAGTAATACTGTGTAATGTATAGTAGTAGTAATAATGTGACAGAGAAGACACATTTTCTAGGACCTACTACATGACTTTACTTCATGGAAATAATCACCTTGAAGGAAACACCTTGCCAGATCTTACATTTTAAAAATAATTACTTAGGAAAGAAATATTCTGTACTTTTATTTTAATTTTAAAATTAAGGTTTAGAAATAATAATGCTGGCATAAAAATTACTACAGTTTGTACCTCTATTTTACTTTCTCTACTATTAGCTTAGAGTAGGCTCTGAATTGGGTGTTTTGCCAATGAAAAATCAATGCTATAGTGCCATAACATAGTCAGTTGTACATATTTTTGCCTTAAGTGAATAAGTTTTAACTGGAACACATAACATAATTTTTCATTTGTTTAATTATAAATTCTGTGAGCCAAAAATATTTTACATTTGCATGAGTCTGCAATGTTTAAAAACATCACTGGTCAAAGATACTAAATTTGTACTTTACATTTTGGCGATATCTACGCATCACTATGGAAAGCAATTGTCTCTGCACTGTGATGTAATCTAGGCTCTGCATTTCAACCGGTAACTGCCCCAATTCTGTTTCTCTTTCAATCATGAAGCAAAAGGTTCTGGGCAAGTATTTGGGCACCTTGACTTCAAGATTGTGGTAGATCCCGCAGGTGCACCTCCATTTACGGTAGTCCTTTTAGCTCCTTCGCGGCAGGAAAAAGCAGCATGGACCAGTGACATTAGTCAGGTAAGCAGTTTGGGGCGGGGGGAAGGAATACTGCATAATTCAATCAGCACATTAATGTTGTCTTAGAGCTCATTATAAAATTTATGAATTAACAGAATATTTCTTTGAATACAGTGTTTGTGAATGAGTGGCATGCTGACATAGCAGGTAAAAGTAAAAGTTTGCCATGTCCAATCATGTCTAACTCTAGGGGGTGGTGCTCATCTCCATTTCCTAGCCAAAGCAGCCATCATTATCCAAGGACACTTCTGGGGTTATGTGGCTGGCATGACTATACACCGAAGCACATAGAACACTGTTAACTTTCCACCAAAGTGATATCTATTTATCAACTTGCATTTGCATGCTTTTGAACTGCTAGGTTGGCAGCAGCTGAGAGAAGAATGGGAGCTCATCCCGTGCTGCCTAGGTCTCAAACTGCCAACCTTCCAGTCGACAAGCTGCGTGTCTTACCCACTAGGCCACTGCGTCCCCACTAGGCTCCCATGCCCCAACTGACATAGCAGCTAGTGTCTTGTGCTTTGAGTGGGAAAGCCCTCATTTAAATAGTTATTCATCTGTGAAGCCAAGTGACTTTGGGCCTGCTACTGGTTCCCAGCCTAAGAGTTTAAAGATTTTTTTTTTAAAAAAGTACAGGTGATACAAGAGGAATGTGACATAAAATAAGATTTTCTTAAGTTTCAGTTGTTGGTTTTTAAATGCCATGAAAAAAAAAAAACAAGTTCCAATTTTCCTATGGACTGTTTTCACACAAAGATCTTTTTTATTTTATTTAATAGCTTTTTACAATGTAAAGCTCCCCAGATACATTAGAACTGTGAACCGCTTTGCTGACTGACAATTCAGTTGGAAGGGTACTAGGTTGGAAACAGCTGTCTTTAGTCTTTATGCACATGGCACACAGATGTCATTACTTTTCTTTTCCAGAATTCTTTAAAAATCTATTGTATCTGCACATTTTCACCTGCTTGGAACTCTTCCTGCACGTAGAAAAAAGTTTCAAAAGAAAATTGAATTTAAGATTGAAGAGAATTGAAAGTGGCCAAATCTGGATATTCTGGAATGGCCTTTATTTTTGATCTCATGTTACAAACTGTACCAGGTTTATGTTTTTGATTGCTTGGATCCATTGTGTTAATTGTAAAATAGTTAAAAATAAATAAGTTTTGGCAATGAAAATAAGAGAATGGGACAGTAGATTTGAAGAGTCACTATGCAAGATTATACTGTACTAGATGCCGTATATGTTTACATATGTTTTAAGTAGTATAGAAGATTTTGTACAAAAGTGCCAAGAACTGGAGTACCGAAATAGTTCATAGATGTAATACAGATTATACTCACATCTGCCAATACATATTTCATGCTGCTGCTACAAAAACAATATTTTTTATAGTTAAAGTTGCAAAATTTATACTAATTGCTGAAGATCAGCTCAGTTAATCTGAGTTTATCTGATAGTAAAGGAAAAACCAACAAAGTAGCATTTATTTTTTTCTCTGTACACTGGTAATATGATTTCAATTGCAGCTAATTGGTATATTATGCAATTAAACATTTAATTGCAAATTAAATTTTGCCTGTTGTTATTTAATGGGACTTAAATTAAAGGGCAAAGCTCTTTGAGGCCACAGGGCTACTGCATATGTCCTTGTTTACCTTCTGCATACTAATTTTGAAGAAATGAAATAGAGTTGACTATTTCCTCCCAACTATTTTATTTTATTAGAAACAATAGCAGAAAAATATTATTTATTTATTTTATAGAGTTAAAAAAATGTCTGACTCCATTTGACTGTTTCATGTAATAAAAAAGTTAAAACAATAAAATGTGCATATCTAGAAAAGCATCACAGAACCTCTGAGAGCTCTCAGTGACTCATGGTTAAGCCTTCTCATCCTCTCAATGGAACATTCTTTCATCACTCCCTTCTTCAGGGTACCTCTTCATGTTTCACTCCCCAAAAGCAACCCAAAGTTCCAGGTCATTCTCACAGCCTGTCCATACAGAGCCTCCAAAGCTGGTTCCAGAGAAGCAATTCTGTTGGTGTTAGATACCAGAATCATTTACAATGGTTTACACCAAGGTCCTCTGTTCCGGTGGGAACAGAGATTCAACCTGATTGGGCGAAGGGTCTGACAGCTCCCTATAAAAGGGCTGCTATCAAACTGAACCTTTGCTGGATTGTACATAGTTGTCTCAGAGTTAATAAAGAGCTGTTGTTGCCTAAGTCTGAGTGTGCTTTTCCTTTACCCGATCTAACACTGGCGACGAGGATGGGATTGGAAAGCAACTAGGCAAATCAAAAAGAGCACAACAATCCAGCAAGTAAATCCAGGCCGGAGCTCGGCGCAGCATCGAGCAGCCATCTTTGAGTGGCATATTCAAATGCGCTCAGGGACACAAGATGCCTATGCACGCCCCACCGACTCCATTACAATCCAGTCACCGAGCACTGGAAATGCTACATGCTGAGGTTTGACTGCTTCCTTGAAGCCAATAACCTCATGGGTCTTCCTGAAGGCCGGAAGAAAAACATGTTCCTGAGCTACTGTGGACGAGAGGTGTTCGAGACAGCAAAGGACTTGTCCAAGCCAACACCACTCCAATTGGTCGCTTGGTCGGTGCTACAACAGAGGCTGAGGACACACTACGCTCCCAGTCTAAAAATGTCCGAAGACACAAATTTAATATTCGTAACCAGAAGGAGGGTGAATCCATCAATGAATATGTTGCAGCGCTCAGAAAGGCCACTAGTTGCCTTCATATTCTTATATGGAAGTTATATTGCCTCAGAGCAATTAATGGAACGAGTGGTGGATAGAATCCAGAAACTGTGAGAGACAGAAGAGTGAACTGATTAATTCCCAAATCCATTATGAGCCTGCCCAGTTGACAACAGCTCCTGGAAAGATCCTTAGCAGCAGACTCTCACTTTTTGAAACTTAATCTTATGACTCTGGAAGATTGCTATTTCAGAAGCCTCAACGCATCAGTTGTTTCCAGTAATCAGGAGCTAATGTTTTCAGTGCCTTTGGATTGAATGACCTGATGCAAAAGGAATTTAAAACCTGTGGTTTTGCAATGTTTCCAGTAGCATTACATTTTAAGATGGAAAATACATTCAGAACAACCAAATATTATTCATTCATTTGCTTATTGACTGGAATGTTATTCTAGGCTTTATCCAGATTGGCCAAGAGATAGAGCTCACCTCAAAGCCACCCAATTTGGGGTGGGGTAGAAGAGAGACATAAATGTAGGTCTTGCTTAATCTGCTCCAACATTTTAATTTCTGCAGCACACTGATTCATTTGCAACTTCAAAGACTTTAAATAGTAAAAAGTTTACTTTTGATTCTGAAGATGTTAAAATGTGGCATTTCAATCTCTTCTATCTTTCCAACTAACCAAATAATCGTTCCAGATAAAATTTTATTTTCTGTAATTGTAGGATCTGAGATATATAGTATTGAGCAAAAATGAATCTATAATTTGTTTTTTTATCAACTTGTCTAGTGTGTTGACAACATACGATGCAATGGTTTAATGACAATAGTGTTTGAAGAAAATTCCAAAGTCACTGTGCCACATATGATCAAGTAAGTGTAATTTCATTGTCATGTTACATATAGCTGCCTAGTTTTGTTTACATTCAAATACAGATTAAATAAACATTAGCAGTTTTATTTAATTGTTAATTCTGCATTTCATGGGAATATATTACATTATATTGTCAATCAGTCAGTCNTCATGTGATGCTGCCGTGATGAGTTTGTCAGCCCTGATTTAGATGGTCATCTAAATTTGTTATTTAGTTGGCTACAGTTATATGACACTGAATTTATTGTAAAGCATAAACAATAAGTATTATTTATGTGCATTAGATGTTTACAGAGTACTACTTGCTTTTCTACTTACCAGGAACTCTTATTCAAGTCCCATCAGTTGAGAGAGGAAAACTTAGTAAAGTTCGCCTGGGATCATTGTCTTTGAAAAAAGAAGGAGAAAGACAATGTTTTCTATTTACAAAACACTTTTTAATTTGTACCAGGAGCTCTGGAGGAAAGTTGCATCTACTTAAGGTACATACTTTTGTAACAAAAACTATGACTAGAATAGTGAATTGTAGAACATATAGTAAAATATATAACTGATTAATTACAGTAAAATAATATAAATCTTTGCAAAAGGAAGAGCTTCCAGTTATAATATTAACATATTTAAGGGGACTTTTTGTATTTATATATGATGGTTTGTTTTATCTGTATAATTCCAAGACCAAAATTCATTTATTTTAATTGTTTTTAAAATAAATATTATAAACTGAGTGTATAATTCAGAAAATAATTAAAATTTTCTAAAGAATCAGATGGATTTTCATGCATTTCCACATCTCTGCCTTCCTAAGCTAAATATCCTCCAGCAGAACCGTTTGAAATTACCACCTGGCACTGAAATTCTGCTTGTTCCCTCAATGATTTTCTCTGACCACCTTTCTGCTTTTAATGTTACATTTTGTGTTTTCATTATTTGTGATGGATTGAGCACATGGAGAAGCAGTGGAGGGGAGGGTTGTCAGCACAGAGGTTCCAAGGAAGGAAGGTATATTCCATCAGAGAGAAGCCCACATTAAGAGACTGCCATACCCTAGAATCCTCTCAGGATATATTTATTCAGGTAGAGAGTGATACGTTTTATACCTTGGCAAGTTCTGTCAATTGAGTGTAAGTAGATAAAGGATTGGACTCCATTGGATTTTTCTTTGTGAGGGCTGGGCCTGACATCATTCTGGTTTTGACAAGTTTTTTTCAATTATTTTATGGAACATTTAAATATAATACAGAATTTCTAGTACAGCTTTATATTGCAAATATTTCTGGAATTATAATAGTAACATTCATATATTTAAAAATAGACGTGTTGTAATTTTCTATTTAAATATATCGCTTATATTGCTTCTGCTGTATTGAAATACTGCAGTTGAGTGCTTCATGTTATTAATCTTATCAGTAAAATTATTTTCAGTTGAACTGGGATAACACAGAATTGTTTTAATTGTAAAAATAGGTTATGCATTTCCACATTCTTTGCTAGAAATAATAATACTTAATTTAAGAAACTCATCTAATTATTGGAATAATACATTATACCATGTACAGTATAGAATCATCCTGTCTAGTCCCCCTTTAGGTATGAAGCCAACTAGGTGACTTTGGGCCACTGTTTCTCAAAACTTTGCTAGAAAGAGTACAGGGACTTGTCCAGTCAGTTGTCAGGAGCTGAGACTTACTTGAAGGCTTTCCATCTCCATCTCCCCCACCCTTTCTCACACACACACACATGAAGAGGATGCTTGTCCAAGTATGTTGAATGAGGTTTACTTTAGATTTGTATTCATGGATTGTACCTTATGTCTCCAGGCAGGAGGCGTTCTTTCATTAATAGAATGCACACTGTTTGAGGAAACTGAGATGAATGATGATGAATGTAAGTTCTATCAAATTGTTTTATGGAACTGTAAAATGTTCTTTAAAAAACAGCATTCTTTTTTTTTTGCTTAATGAAATATTAATATAGACAGAGAGAGTTTACTAATAGAAATTCTAATTCAAGAAATAAAAGATGTACATATATATGTGTTGATTTATTTATCATTATACTAAACTGAGAGACTCTGAATTCTAGTCGTGCATTAAGCATAAAGCCAGCCAGGTGGCCGGTCACTGTTTCTCAGTCATGGGCAGATGGGAAATGGCAATCCATTTCCAAAATCATGCCAAGAAATCTGTCTATTTGTCTAACTCTATACATATGAGGAGG